TTTTATTTTTTCTCTTCTTTTCATAAAGAAAACACTTTGGAAGGGGGGTATTGTGAGACCGGAACTCTTCCAGGTCTATATTAAGTATGCGACACAGCACTCTAGAGAGTGACAGTGAGAGTCTCGTACGACTACCAGTGTTGGACACTAACTTATAGTAAGCTCCGCTTACACTATCTCTGTAACCTGTTGTTAATATATCTTTCTTACATCTAATCCGTGTTCCGTGTTTTACTTCTGTGGTCCCAACTTTGGCCCCACATCAGTATGTTACAATTCAGAGCTGATTGTCAGGTTGGGGAGAGGCCAATTAAAAAAAATATATGATTTGTTTTCCTGAAAGCCTTGTGCTTTTAACTAATATAATCACTAAACTGAACAATGTTGAATTTCTAGAGTTTTCATAAAATTAGTTAATGGGGAGGGGTAATAATTATAAAATTTTTTTTACCATAACTTTAAAAAAAGAAAACGTATTTATAATAATTTCTATCATTTGTGAATAGTTTCTGGAAGTTTCATTAACATCCAACATTTATTTTTATTTTTACAAGGTTTTCCAAATTAATATCAGTCATACAAGAAAAACGTGCTAAAAATTGTATATTTTATTTGGTAGTTCCTTTGATACAAAGAGAAACAAGTTTTTTTTAATAAAAAATTGCAATGTTCTAAAAAGAAGGAATAATTTTAAAAAAATGATTAAGAAATACTTTGTTTTTTCCTCTTAATAATAACATAAACACTTAGACGATAAAATTTTGTTTTCATCAAGTTTGGCACCTTTCTCATCATGCTATGCTCTTTTTTTAGTGATCTCATGGACGTACCTATATAAAGTGCTCTATTTGGTCTGACTAGTCGTAGATTCTATAATTATTGTATTTCGTTTTATCTTCTTATGAGGATCATTTAAATATTTTATGTGTTTATCGCTTTTTTGTATATTTGGTACTAAAATATTCTTGCAGATGATATGGTTTCACCAGAAAAATGATTATAGCATAATAAATACGTTGTCGTGCTTTTATTGAATGAAGATTTGTCAGAACCATAATTCAATATTCAGTTGAATACAAACGAGAATATTATTCTTTGGCAGCAAAGAACACTTGTAAAATACATAAAATAATAATTACATATTTAATCTTTGTCTAACTCCAGTATATTGATCTTAATATAGTGTCGTTGCCCTTTGTCGTTTATAGGTCTGCGTTTTAAATCGTGTTAATAAAATATTAGTTAAATATTGCTGGTGCATATTCTGTCACAATATGAGAAAAGCACGTATTTCAGAAAAAATACATCTAATTACACATTACGAAAGCCGTAAACAATAAACAATCATACATTTTAGATAATGAAAGGGATGTTAAATCATACAAGACCATACAACATATTTTTTAATGCTCTTGGTTTCAATCTAGAAGGGAATAATAGCAAATACATCCCCTTTCCCAAATTTATAGAGAAATCGTACAAATGCATATTAGGATTTCTTCCAAGCCAATAAGATAGAACATTTCTTGGTCTCATTTGTTATATTTCTATTCTTTTCTTGAAATCAGAACGCTGCCGTCATTTGTTTCTATCTCTTTTTTGCTTTAACAACATTTGTGAACGTTTTTGCCTCATTACTGTTGTTTGTTACATTTGTCTTGCATATAATGTTTGCTTTGTATTATTTTTGCCCTTTTCTTTTCTTTTTGTTTATTGCAAACATTGCAACTTCTGTTTGTTGGGCAATTCTGCCCATTAGATTTAACTATGGCTGATTAATCGACATGAAGCATATCGTAAATTTTGACTAAGACAAAATTGATTAAGAGCCCATTTAGAAAAAATAATACTAAGAAGTATAAATGTATTTATGACAGGATAAAACGGGTTGAAAGATAATTTAGCTTTAAGGACCATTGTTGGAATGCAATGGTTCTTTGATTTGATCAGAATCGTTAAAACAGAATGACTTACTCGGTAGATTTGTATGGTTTGGTTATTTATGGCAAGAATGAACAAAAACTGAATTGATTCGATTCTATTTATAGAAAACGCATGGATATTTGAGCGACAGATTCTGGCGCTATCATTTCGTAAATTGTCAATGGCGTCTCAAATTTGTGCTTCTGTCCAATGTTATTTTTACTATATGTTATATAAGGTAACTCATTCTAAATTGGTTGGGAGATATATATCTTTTTGTGCTCAAAACGGTTTGAGTTATATTGTTCATGGTATAATGGAAAACAATGAAAAAAAAAAAAATTTTAAAAGACAATTTAAGATTTACGGACAGCTACAAGAAATCAGTAGACCTGTAAGTATGTGAGTATAAAAGAGAAAATATATAGTCAGATACGTACTTTGGTCATGAACGTACAAGTGGAAAATATTTAGGAGAACCTAAATATAGATGAACTACAGGGTCAAATGTAATGGCTAACTGCCTGCCTATATGACAGATGTAAATATTTAATGTAAAATCTGTTTCATAGACTACGTAAAAGCATTTCATAAATTACAACAGAGGACTGCTTGGGAAATTTGATTTATTTAGAAAAGATAGAATAATCCAGAATATTTAATGGGAGTAAACTGATTGTATACGAATATAAAATATATTAAACAAGATTACAAAAACCGAAAGGGAATTAAACGAGAATGTGTCTGTTATTCTTACCGGATTTATTTAACCTTTACAGTGAAGAAATTCTCAAAGAACTAGAAGTTCTAGCAGGAATTATTAATGGTGGATAAAATCGTAACAAAATAAGATACGCAAATGACAATGTGCTGATGGCAGACAGAAAAAAACAAAGCAAGGATTTCCTCCTTGACGAGATAGCAAAGGAAAAGCGGAAAGTTAACCATTAACTGTGAGAAAACACACAGTGTATGGTCGTTAGAAAGAGAGACAGACCAACTAAGTACAGAAATTTAACTATCTAGGAAATATTTTAACAGATGAAGAGAAAATCGAATCCAGACATCCTAAGCCGCATTAGAGTATGATTTACAAAAGCTAAACAAATTATTAAGAAATAGGAACATCTCGCTGGAAACAAATGCAAGAGTGTTAAACTTCTATGTAGCATCAATCCTCCTATATGGCAGTGAATACTGGACTAATTCCTCACAGCTGCATGAAGTTGTGACAACAGATATGTGATTCTATAAAAAATAATACTGAGAATAACATAGACGTATCATGTGAACAACGAGGATGTTTTAAGGAAAATGGAAGTAAAAAGGACACTTGTACTTAGAATAAAAAAGAAACAACTAACATTTTTGGGACACGTAATAAGGAGAGAGGGCTTTGAAAATTTGATACTCACAGGGCATATCGAAGGCAAGGTAAACAGCGAGTAATCTACCTAATCATGTGTAAATGAGTAGCAGAGCAGGGTAACAGAGGGGTATTATAGAGACAAGTATTACTCAGAGCTACAGAGGATAGGAAGTTGTGGAGAGCCATGATTGTTCACATTCTGAATGGGCGCGGTATATAAATGAAGTAAACATAAAAACTGTGCGAAATATAGATATGTTTGTTGCGTACTGCCCGTCGGGTCTCCAGCCATCATCAGGACATGGAATGGTGTAGACATGTTCTTTTGTAATGTTAGGCTGAACAACTAGCTGTCAGTTTCATTCTGCCACAAGAGAATGTCAACGCATTCTATTTACAGATTAATCATCTGAGCATTAATTCAAATAAAAAAAATGGTTCTGCTGCCTGAACATCTGTACCAATAAGCAGATACCATAGCAACTACATCCATATATGCTCTCATATGGCCTTACGGCGACATCATGTTGAAACAGCGGTTCACATACAATCAAGGAAGTTAAAAAAACGTCGAACCCTCGTCAGTACATTAATGAGTGATCGCTTTGGAATGCTGTAACCTTGGATGTGCGAGTAGTGTAATTAATAACGATTTGGAATTGTTAATCGGAGAGACGAGTTCCAATTCCACTTGGGTTCGTTATATTAACTTACATACAAATACTATTGGAACAGGCATGGATCTAACTCCCCCCCATCTATGGGTTAATTGTTTAGATGTATCACGAAATTCTTATTATTGCAAAAAATTCTTACAATCTAAAAATATTTTCTGACTTTAAATAACCTGCAAAGGGTTGATAAAACGTCGAAACGAATGAATCAATCTCTTAACAATAATAATAATAATAATAATATCTCCAAAAAAGTAAAAACGAAACTGCGTACAAATTTAGATTTCGGCATTAAATATATATTTGGCATTGAGGTGTTGATATGACAAAAACAACCAACAAACTCATATGCAGATACCTTGACGTAAATATGCAATCAATGTTTGTGAAGTCGAAACATGTAATCCTAGTTGATATTTCTTGTGCCAAGATTACAATAATTTAATGCAAATAAGATCTCATTAAAATTCCGGTTCAATATTATTTATATCTTTTGATAACAACGTTTATTCTTGCATATAAATCGACGAAAACATTAAAAAAAAATTATGAGTATAAAGTTTCGAATAATATTTTTTCAACTTAATTTCAGCTAATTTTGTTATTACTCTTAATAGGTATTTATAACACAATTGTTAATAAGCAGTGTTGATAAAGAAAAAAGCGATTGCTGAGACTCGAACTAGCACCCCTCGTTTTGCTTAGCCTGTTGCAAATACCATAACGACCAAATTACAAAGACCGACAGGCGGTTCCTTTACACATTTACTAATGTAGTTTTCATTTTATATTATTCCTGGACGCTTTGGTACGCTAACATTTTCACTTGCAGACGCTAGAAATATTAGTTGTAGTAATATTCGAATTCTTCAATAGTATTTCTTTCATCTTTTATATATTTCAATAATTTCGGCCTTTTCGCCTTCTTAGATCACACGTTTTCTAGGATAAGCGATGAGTGTTCGAATTTCGCTGGAGTCTTATTTTGATTTCCGATAAAAGCTATATGTTAACGATCTTATATTTGCGGTTTACTGTCACATCACATTTGAAACACCGGTTCCCGTAAGATCATCGAAGTTAATCAATGTCGAGCCTGATCAGGACGTAGATAAGTGGCCGCTTGAGAATACCTGGTGCTACAAGCTTCGATGTGCAGGTGGTGTAATGGAAAATGGCTCAGAATTGTTTATCGAAAAGCCTAGTTGCAATTCCAGCTGGGTTCGTTATATTCACTTACGCTCGAATAACCTTGGGAAACATATGAATCCATATCTTCGCCTCCCAGCTATGGGTTAATTAGTAGGACCTGTAATGACTTGTAATGAGGATGTGCGTTGTGGTGTAATGGATATCGGTTCAGAGTGAGATCCGAGTTCGAATTCCTGTCGAGTTCGTTAGATGCACAAATACCCTTGGGAAAGGTATGAAGCCATCTCTTCCAGCTATGGGTTGAATAGCAGTGCAGACTGGGTTCTTTAGCCTTGGTTGGCAACCAGTCCACCGCAGACAGAAATGGCAACCTATTGGTGGGAAAAAATCTGCCTCATCATTCATATATCGAAAGAAACATGATCGCTCAAGTGTGTATCACGTATGGCACATAACTGACTCTAATAACTAAAACCATTATTATCACAAAAATAAATAAATAGAATTGACAAAATATTTAGATTTTGGTATTAAATAATCCATAGATATGCTGTTAAATAAAAAAAATCTAACCAACTTATACGTGCAATAAAAAGCAACTGAAATTCAAAGGAAAGAAATACGAAACAGAATTTAATAATAATTGACAATGACATAGATATATATTTGCATATGTGTATCTACTTAGTGTTACTTTATATATAATTCTAAAAAAGATTTAATTTAGAACAAACTGGAAATCAAATCCTGGAGATCGAAAAGACCTTTCGGTTCATCTTGAATATTTTAACAGATGAAGTTTCATCAATCGCTATTGAACTAATCGCTATATTACTAATACTACTACTATAATAGTCAACAATATTTCTTTCAGTTGATAAAAAAAATCAATGATAATCTTACTACTAGTGTAAATAAATCAACTGAAATTAAGATAAAAAAATGTAAATAATGAAAAAAAAATACTCGTCAAAAACGAATAATGGTTAAGGATGGTATGATTCTAATGAGAAACTCCTGCTTTTTAGCGAGTAAGAAAACCAAACTCTCTTTTTCGTAAATTTAACCAAACTAAAATTACCCATAAAAGTTTCACCGTTTTCCTACTTAAATATTCTGATAAATTTTAATTCTTAAGTTTATGATTGAAGAAGCTCTTGATGAGTTCTACGACAATAAAATATCTGTAGAAATTTCCCTATTGCATCAATAAATAAATATTTAAGCTTAACAACTTTAACAAAATATTGCGATAACAATCATAAATATGAATGTTGGTCGTTATTTTAAGAATAAGGGGGTCCAAATGAAAATATTTGAAATAGATAACTTTTTTTTCTATTTTTCACTGAAATAGATTTTAAACATATGACTTCTTTCTTTTCTTTCTTTTTTCACGGAAAACAATTAGTGTCTCTGATATGTCTTTTCCGTTTTTACATGCGATCAAAACGGAATAGTCCATTATTTAAGAGGTATTGGCAGGACGTAACGTACGTACGTGCTAACTAAGGAACTAAGTGTGTGTGTGTGTGGGGGGGAAGCAGAATGATAATAAAATATTACGCTCTACTGATTCATTGTCACGATTCATCAGTAAAATCGATTTGCATAGCCGTAAGCAACAAATAAAAAAGATGTAAATCACCGGATGAGGAGACGTTCATTATTTTTCATCTTTTGTAATGCGTAAGTTTCTGAAATCTTTTTAATAATATGAAAAAAAATTTAATAAGCAATTTCCGAATGAATACAAGCCAAGGATAGCCAAACAATTTTGTTTAGTGACAAACACCCATTTCATGATTCGACACAGGTCTGTGCTTACATTAATTTCCTACTTGTAGATGGGACAGAGGCAACTGAATTGATTTCTTTGCTTCTACAAAGAAAGTCAATTTTCTGTTGACTCGATCCCAAGTCAACCCTGTATATTTTCTAAGAAAACTGTTGTCAGTGACTCAAAAATGTGACCATTTTTCATCTATTCCAGGAATTTATTTTCTGTAGGAGTAGACGCTGGTGAATTACCTAATATATTTATAGAAGGAAAAACACAATATGTCAAAGAAAGCATTAATCAACAGTAACAAGCAGTAGCAACAGCATCAGCAGCAACAGCGGCAGCAGCAGCAACAACAACAAGCACAGTCTATTCTTATGAGAGAAAGACGATTACGCCCTCAGTCCAATTCCGTCGAAAGTTGATAGATATTTTCAGACAAATTTAACATTTTTTACACTATTTACATTATTCGTACTATTGTCGTCATCTTTGTCGCCATATTTATTACAACGTTTCAACCGTTGTACGCTCCGGCCTTCTTCAGGTAGTTGGAATGTCGAACGGAACACTTTATTTCGCTCACTGGGGTAGACTGTTCTAGATCCACGTGCCATGTCTAATGGATGTCAGTTATCAGTTATCACCTGCTTAATTCCCCTCTCCAAGTTCTCCACCACTTTAACCAGGTATTGAACTCACACTCTTTGGGTCCTGGTCACTGGACTAACTAGCGCCTTTATCCACTGTATGAATTTCTGGGTATTATAGACCTAATATATTCAGCAGCCATTTTTACCATTGCTCATATTGCAATTTTTGCTGTTATCATTGCATTTTTTTTTTTTACCAGAGCTCATATTGCAATTTTTGTTGTTATTATCGCTTTTCTCTGGCACTCCTTATTACTGGCTCTCATATTGTATTCATTTCTATGCTCAGGAGATTTTTGTGGCTTAGCATATGTGCTGATTCCTTTGCGAGTTTATGAATTTCCCAATGGTGTTCTTTGTCTATGATCTCAACCTGATCCCACAGAGGGCGATGATCTCCTTTTTCTCTCTTAACATTTTTTATGAGAAAAACTTCGAAAGAAATTATTTTCGTGATACTTAGCCGTTTCACAAATATTTGACTTTAAAAGAAAAGGCAGCATTTATGTTCGTCGAGAAAATTAAATATTTATTTTCAAAAAGAAAATTAAAATTTAATTTCCACCCCAATGACATACAGACACATTGAGAAGATGGTAAAATAATATTTAAAGATGTCGTGATCTCGCGACCATGAGAAATAAAAAAAGCTTCCCATGATTCTCTAGGAAAAAGGAAACCGCCATATTGTCGGGAAATTTAGCACCATCCTCTTTTCATCGACCTCTCGCCAAGAGAGCACATGGATTTGAGCGGTTCCAGGGATAAATCCCACAGATAGGTTTTGCACATATATCATTTTCTCATATTTATTATTACCTTTTAATAATAGACTTATCACTTGCAAATCATTCATCCATACATCACACCGAATACAAAAGAAAAGAAGCATAAACAAGCATATTACAAGAACTTCATATAGTCTACCGAATAGGTACAGCCAAATCCTTCTGATAATAAATCCTTCCATATATGTATAAATGTCTCTTTGTTCTTATGATATATATATATATGTATATTTTACGAACCAAAAAAAGGAGTAAAATAATGCCCATCATGACAGAGAAACATCCACATATGCATATACCCATACATGAACAAACGTACGCCCACACACACAAACATAGATACATACAAACGTAACTCCCATCAAAATATGTACCCAAAGATCGCATAAATTGCACCTATACAATCATCCCAAGAGTATTCAGATATGCAAAGAGGTGCTGATAAGATCTGAAAACGATGGAATTCCATAAACATCTGACGTTTGGTTTTTATTCAGATTTTGGAAGAGTGTCGAACCGAGAAATCGTCTATAACACTTTTGCCTGAGTACAAATTAACATTTGGGATTTTCATACAAATAATTTGTTTATTCCTTTTCCTTCTTTCAGAAACCACTGCAATATTTAAAGATATATCTATAAATAATAAACATCGCAATGATTGGCCGTAGGAGCCGGAAGATATTTATAGAAATAATGAATAATATTGAGTAAATGTTATTCGAAAAGAGACGAAGAGAACTCACAAAGGGTGGGTTATTTGCTAATATTAGAGCCTTTCGAGTAAAACCTTAGCTTATTTTGACAATTTCGAAAGGCTTACTAATAAATATTCTAAGCTGTACTTCTTGCCAGAATCTTAATAAACGTCAAATTATACAGCTTAATCGATTTCCCTTACTAGAAAGATCTCTCCGGGGTTTGGATGTGAGGTTCCCACATCAATCCACTCTCAGATTTTACTATGCAAATCAACATTTTCACAATAAAATTGGCATTAACCCACTCATATTGGGAACATTTTCCAAATGTGATCTTTCGGTTCAAAATTCCAACGTATTTCACCTGAAGAAGGCCGGAGTGTACAATAGCCGAAACGTCGTCGATATGCCAATAAAGACGAGAACCACAGTCCGAACAATGTAAACAGATAAATATACAATATGTATTCTAGCACAGAATGTTTTTATAAGAAATATTTACAATAATTTTTTTTGGTGCTGTAATATTTTATTATGCAATTCGAGGGTTTTTCATCATGTTATAGATAAATGTATATAACATAGTTATTGATACTTATTTTGTAATTTTACGCATATGAAGTTTGTTATAAATCGTAAGAATGATAAGACCTTGAAAAGGAAAGAAAATCTTTCGAAATAATTGAGTGATTCTTTGGAAATTACGAAAAAGTTAAACAGAAGTCAACGATCAGTTATAAAGAAATTTAAAAGCATTGGCAAAATAAGAGAAAGAAAAATTGTTGTCGATAAGAATGCTATAAAAAGATTTGAGAAAAATGAAACGACAATAAGCAAGAAAAGTGGATTGACCAGTAAGAAAATATTTGAAGAAGATGATGTTTATATGTAAGCTGGGAGAAAAGATACAGAATATTCCGAAGTTTGGCTAAAGCACAAAGCCACATAACTACTGCCATTAAGCCAATGTTGCAAAGAGAAATAAAGAAATTGTGCAAAGAAATCACATGAAAATTGATTTAACAATAATTTTTAGGGATGAATGTAGAGCTGATGGCTGTGTCAGGGG